GTTCAAGAGATAGTGGTCCACTAAGTGGCGGAACGGTAATTAACTCAAACTATGCGATTAATCGATATTTAATCTAATTTAATCATACCTAATCAATTTTCAGATAATTATACTATAAAATCACATTAATTCTAAGGATCATAGAACACTAATCGGTTTCGGATTCGGCCGCCGATAAGGCCTTCAATTAGCAGTTTAAACATATGAACATGAACAGATAATCATCCAGTCAAACAGATAGAATGCAATTTAACTAACATATACTCAATCAATTCGATTTCCAAATTTCAGTCAGTCAGTTCCGTACTTTAATCAGTTCAATTATCAGTCGTAATCAATTCAGTTTAACGGTAATCAATCAGTCATAAGTCGGTAAACAGTATGAGGGTTGTTACAGTAATGCTCTGCACTAACTGTTAATTAACAAATATCATGATATTAAAAAAATATTGAAAGTAAATTTTTTTAAAAAAAGTAAATGATTTTGTTTGGATTTTGATCTATCACTTTATAATGAATGACATGTTTTTTATTATACAAATGACCCTATCATACCATTTCAATATAAAAATTATAGTAAAACAATATTAACCAACAAAAAATAGTTATAAACAACAAAAAAAAAGGATAATGATTGGTAGAGAGGATGAAAAAATGACACACAAAATATAAAATACACAAAACAAAAAAAAAATGGTCATAGATAAAAATAAAAAAAATAAAAAAAAAAGAAGAAGAAAAAAACGGTGTAGTTAAAGGATGAAAGAGTCTGCTTAGATAATAGAATAGATTAAATATAAACTAACCTCCAAATTGTCTCATAAAAAGAAAGTTAAAAAACAATGAGTTTCATTGTTCCATAAATGCAATATTTATAGGGCAAAGACATGAATAGCATGAAAAAAAGTATAATGTATGATGGTTAAGATTTTTGGATAGATAAAAGAATTGGTTAGAGAAAGAGTGCATAAGAATATTTTTTTTCATCTTTTTTTTTTCTAAATTATAAATCATGGAATCATTATAAAAAATGATAAATTATGAGATTTGTTTTAAAAAAATATATATATATTATAGATATGCTTAAATTTATTTGGGAATAAAATTGTGTTTAATTATGGAATAGAGAGAAAATCTAGATATAAGGTTTAATTTTTATTTTATGTTAGGCTTAATTTTAGATTTATATGATTTAAATCAGTTGTGAAAAATATTAATAGTATACATTTTATGGGAGGTGAGAGTTTTCTTTTCATTAGATTTATTTTAGGAGAGAAAAGATTGTATGAGATTTATATTCTTTTTAAAAAATTACTTTTAAGGATTTGAAACACTTAGGGCCTCTAAGATGAAAAGTTACTTTGGTATAATATATAGAAAATGCTATAGGCCCCAAATTTTCTACAAAATAAATTAGTAATTTATTTCACAGAAAATTTTGTATCTCTAGCGTTACCCATAATATATAGCATAAATAGATTATGAGATTTAGGAAACAGATAAATATTAGAGGAGAGATTTTAAAAACTTGTAATTCAATTAGTTTTTTAAATTTATAGTTACTTTGTTAATCAATAGTATTATTTTTAAATATTTTTAAAATTACAAAATTCATATTCTCATTCACAATAACCACATTCACATACAAACGTCTTCTATTCGTAAAACGGTGCCGTTTTAATTAAATAAAAATTAATGCACGCACAGGATTTTATAAATTTTTTTGGAGATGTCAAACATTTTTTATTTGTAAATATCTTATCAATTAAAAAAATAAAAAATAAAAAAATATGGTAGTTTTTGATATGTGTATATCAATTTTGTTTTGTGGATATAAACAACTGATGTTTCAATTTAAAAAATTAAAAAGTATAAAAAAAAATAGATTGGGTTTTTTGGGGATACCAAAAGCCGTCTAACTCCTCTATATACTATTTTAAAATGGACTATTTTAATCACACAAACATATAGAAATTATATTTAGAAATTATCTCTATATATTATGCTATTATATTCAAATATAGCGGTAACAAATTAATTAGTATATATGAAAAGTTATACTAAGCTTTCATTTCCAATTAATTGAATTATGATTAACAAACTAACAAACAACAGTAATGGTATAATAGGATAGAAATAGGATAAAAAATGATGTTTAAAAATTTTAAATTTACCTAATTATACAAAAATCTAATGTTATAGTAAAATCTTGAATTCTCAATAAATTTTCACATTTTATATAAAATAAAATGTCAATAAAAAATATAAAATAAAAAATTTGATACCTATTTTTTTTTACTTTAATTTTTGGTTTTCGTTGAAGAAAATAAAATCCAATCAAAATTATTAGCATAGAACGGACATAAATACTTTGATTGCAACTATAATTACCAATAATTCTTCTCCACCATGCAAACTTATTAACAAACACATAAACCTCACTAAAACTGAAACCGAAACCGAAACCAAAACAAAACTAACAGTAGAGAAAGAGAATCACACAGAGAAAAAAATAAAATTAAAAAACAAATAAATTTATTGAGTGGAAGAATATTACCTCCAACAACTTAGACATCACCTAATCCAATCCGTTAGTTCCTCCACCAATACCCGCAAAGTTGAAGAGTTAGGATGACTAATCAAATTATTCTTTAAATTAGACTTGAAAATTGATTAATATGTCCCATTAAATAATTTAAAATTTTGATAGATATACATCAAAAAAATAGATAATTATATTATTAAATCATAATTTAAATTTAGATATTGTCATATCCATATCTAAATTCTTATCTTTTTTATTTTTGTGTGGTTTCTATTTGTTTTTCTTTTCTTCAATTTATTTAAGATGGAGTTGTGGGCGACATGTGAGTTTTATTGATTTAAAATATGATAGTGAGAGATACTTTAAAATTAGATTTGTTTAGATAAACTTGAAAGATTTTCAAATTTTAAAATTGGGGATTGAGATGCAAAAGAAATATTTTAATTGAATAAATAAAAATCAAATTTATTAATTTTATTTATTTGTATATTTGATCTTTAGTTTTTTTTGTTATGTTGTAATATAATATATAAGATATAGATAGATATCCACAGATTTTATTAAAAATATTATCTGATTTTTTGGGCAAGAGAGAAGGCAAACAAGTTCTAATATTTTTTTGGGAAATCGGTGAGACAGATTAGGAGGGAGAGATTATGAAATATTTTTGTTATATTTCCATTTGAAATCCATAAATTAAAGGATAATTATTATTTCCAAAATAATTAAATAAATAAATCAGTCAACAGCTTTTTTTAATCTATTTTAAAAATTAAAAAATCAATAATTTTAGAAAATTGATTAATTTGTCCTATTAAGTGATTTAAAATTTTAATAGATATGCATAAAAAAATAGATAATTATATTACTAAATCATAATTTAAATTTAGATATTGTTATATTTTTTTGAGATCCATATCTAAATTCTTATCTTCTTTATTTTTGTGTGGTTTCTATTTTTTTTTTCCAATTTATTTTAGATGGAGTTGTGGGTTTCTATTTTCTTTTTAAGTTTTATTTATATGTGGTTTTTATTTGTTTTTAATTATTATTATTTAGGTAAGTTATGATGCAAGTTAAATATGTGATAGATATGTGAGTTTTGTTGATTTAAAGTATGATAGTGGAGGATATTTTTGAAATCAGATTTGTTTAAATAGACTTTATAGATTTTTAAAATTTAAAATTTGATATTGAGAGGGAAAATAAATATTTTAACTGAATAAATAAAAATCAAATTTATTAATTTTATTTATTTGTATATTTGATTTTTAATTTTTTTTGTTATGTTATAATATAATATATAAGATATAGATAGATACCCACAACTTTCATGAAAAATATTATCTGATTTTTTGAAAGAGAGAAAATAAATGCAATTTCTAAAATAATTAAATAAATAAATCAGCCAATAGATTTTTTTAGTCTACTTTATAAATTGAAAAATCAATAATTTTAGAATGAGAGTTTAGAAATCTTAAGAGGCTTCTCATTAGAAATCTCATTTTCCTTATATTTCTTTTAGATATTTTTTTAAGATACAAACTATTTTTTTTAGATTTTTTATAAAAATAATTTAATAATCACATCATTAACCATAGTGTATAGGAGAAGTTGAAAATGGTGCTGCAGGAATTATGAGAAAAGTTAAAAATGTTTGTGGGTTAGGAAAAGTCAATAATGCTGAGGTTATTTTTTTTTTAAATCAAAAAATTAGAAAATTAATATTGGAATATTAGAACTCTCATGAGACTTGTGGGTTAGAAACTCTATTTTCTTTATATAATATATAGATAGATAGATGGGTAAAAAATTCATGAAGAAATAAAAATAAATTTTTGAAAAAGTAGATTGCTACTCCTAACTAAATTTTAATTTTTTATTTGTAGAGAAGAAATTGAAACCAAAATAGCTATTAAATCAATGGCTTTGGTTTTTTCACTTCAACATCCAAACAAATTAAATTGGCCCCATGGTTAAAGCCAATTTTCCAAGTGCCAATGAACTGCCTAATAAAAAAATTAAAAACCACTAACTAACCACTACATGGATAGCCCAGAGTAATGCTACTCAACCCCAATTCAAGGGTCGTTTTTTTATTTTATTTTATTTTTGTAAGATTTTAGTCCGAATCTGAATGGCTATTTTAATAATAGATGAATCTTTCACAAAATCTCAAAAGCTCCACTTCATTGCCAATTTCAAGAATATAATAATCTCAAGTGCTTCACCTCAAGTATACCATATTGAACTAAGATCTAGCTGAATGATTTCCATTCACTTTTAATATTGGATAAGGGAAACTTCCTCATAGAGCAACACCACCTTCCCCTCTTCTCCATAACCACATGATACAACTATATATGCACACATATCCATACCCCCAAAACCCAATCTCTCTCTTCATCATCACATCTCTCTCTCTCTCTCTCTCTCAAAAAAAAAAAAAAAAAATATGGGTGCTCCACAACATCTTTCCTCTCTCAGCTGTGAACTGAGAATCATAAAAGCCAAAAACATTGATTCAATCAAGTCCAATGCACACTTGTTTGTTAGATGCTACCTCTCTGCAGGAAACAACAAAAGGGTCCGGCTAGAAAGCAAAGAAATCTCACCGACATCTTTAGTATGGAACGAGTCGTTCTCGTTGGAGTGCCTTGGGACGCAAGCTTCCATGGACAAGGTCATGCAAGGAAGTGTAGTTTTTGAACTTCGCTACAGAATCACCGTACCGGTTCTTGGGAGAATCAAGGGTTCACATCTCTTGGGCAGCGTGGAGATTCCATGGAAAACCGTTTGCGAGTCACCAGAGATGGAATTTGAGAAATGGGTTGTCATGGTTTCGTCGAAAAGTCATGGAGATGTGAAGCCACCTGCACTGGAAGTGGGCATGAAGGTTCGAGTTCCGGCAGTGAAAGAGGCCGTGCCGACGAGGAGGAGGAGAGAGAGGAGGGTGGTGGACTGGGAAGAGTGCGGATGCATGGATGGTGGGTGTTCCAATTGTGCTGATTTTGAAATGCTTGCATTGGCTGCAGCTATGGAAGCCTTTTAGGCACCAAATTGGCAAAAGCACTTGGGAACCTCTAGGGGGCGATTAAAGTCACAACAACGCGTAACTACAAGGAGTCAGATAAAAAGCCTAGACAAGTCTGGCAAACACGAAGATTTCACATATATTACTTCAAGAGAGGCCAACTGATAACCAGATCTCAACCCCATCGATGAGTCTCACGCCTTCCGCAACTCATTTTTTCACTCAGATGAAGAATCTTGTAAATATATATATATATATATATATTAATGTATATATGTGATGAGAAACAATTATGTGGCGGATTACCCTTTAATTTAAAGAAAAGGTTTTGATATTGAAACTCAGCATTATGTTGATTGTGTCAACTTTTTTAATTGTGACAATTTGGCAGTACAATTGTTCCATCTTTTTCAATCTATTTCAGCTGAATAACATATATATATTGAGAGGGAGATTTGCGCGGGGCTATGGCGCCAAACCGAATCGGCACGACTTCTCGAGCTATCACGCATGGCCGAGCTATGTCGCTGACCAGAGTGCGAAGACATGCATATGCCCAACCGAGCTGTGACTCGGCTAGGTATTCAGTTGGATCCGCGTCTGAACCGAGCCAAGCACAGCCCAGAATGAATTTAGATCGGGACAAAGGCCGGCACGCCTCACAGCCAGTCAGTTCGGATGGACCGACTTCTTTCAGCTCGGCCGTACCGATCATGGTGGTGTTTCTTCCCAAGGGATAGGTCGGTCATGATATCCCGGTCGAGTGTGCCATCTGGACCAATGGTGTGATGGAGGGGAAATCCACTCCTAGTACATGTCAATACCGTTTGGCAGTTCCACACATGTTGTTTGGAGGTTTTGGTCTTTACAAGCGTAAAGAAGATAGAGGGGAGCACTACCACCTGTCCAGGGAAGGACAATAGAGGTAGTGCGCCCACAATCTTTGAGGCTGCATGGCCAGCCTAGAAAAAGGAGGCATGGGAGACGTTGGAGGTAAGCAATCTGAGGAATTCCCAACTCTCTCTCTCTATCTCTCTAAGGTGTTCTCTCCTTTTTCTTCTTCTTCAAGTGTGCTGACTTGATCGTCGGAGGGTTTATCCGGCAATATACTGTCGGGTAGCTCACCGTCTTTCTGTTTTTAGGCCAAGCGACGCTACGTAAAGTTTGAGTGCAAGGAGTACGGAGAACAAATAATATTTCACCCCGTACATATATATATATATATCCTCCAAGTGGTGGGAGATGGCTGCCTTCTTCAGGTAAGAGTGGCTACTGCTCAAAGCTATGGGGTGATGTCTTAAACATTGGCCATTCAAACCCCCAGTTGCTGAATTTACTTATAGAAATTACAAATATTGTTGTGGGGAATGGGATCAGAATTCAGTTCTGGGATGATCATTGGGTGGGGAATTTATGTGTTGAGAATGAATTTCCCAGACTCTATAGCTTATCAACTGAGAAGGAGGTTTCCTTGAGTTTGATGATGGAAAGGAAAGGAAGCTCAACAAGCTGGATATTCAACTTCAGAAGACCCTTATTTGCCTGGGAAGCTGATGATCTGGCTACACTCAACAACTTGCTGAACCAAGCAGTGGCAGGTCTGTCAAACAGAGATGATTGTTTAAGATGGTTGGCCTCTTCATCGGGTCAGTTTAGGGTGTCTTCCTTGTATAATTTGTCCATGTATAGTGGTTCTTTTGAGTTTAAGGTCACCAAACTACTGTGGAACAATGTGTCTCCACCAAAAGCTCAATTCCTTTGGTTGGTTGCTTGGCTTGGAAGGGGAGATTAAAAACCTCTGGTTTTCTTCAAAGACTAGGAGTGATTGGTCAAAATGCAAATGTCACATATGTGTTTTGCAGAAATGAAATAGAATCAGTAACTCATGTGATGCTTTCATGTCCCTTTGTTTGGAAGGTGTGATCAAACCTGATGATGTGGTATTCATTGTTTGGAAGACATTGTGGGAATTGTAGTTTCTAAACCTGAAGTGCTGGGTTTTTTTAAATCGAATACTACAATTGAACTTGGGGATGGCTTGAGGGCAAAGTTTTGGCTAGATAATTGGGCTGGTTCCGTTTGCTTGAAGGTTTTGTTCCCTAGACTCTTTTTATTGGCTCTGAACAAATCTGAATCTGTGTCTACAGTGCGAGCTAGAGTTGGTCAACATGATTGGTATTCATTGTTTCGAAGGAGTTTATTTGTATGGGAAATGAAGGAATTAGAGAGATTGAAGGGGATGTTGCTTAATGCAGCTGAGTTAAGGGTGAATGTCACTGATAAACTGAAATGGATGGCAGACCCTTCAGGAGTATTTTCTGTCTCATCAGCATACCATTGGTACGAATCCTCCTTCGGTTCTACTTTCAGGACAACAGAGTTCATCTGGAAGAATGTGGCGCCCCCAAAAGTCCAATTCTTTGGCTGGCTTGCTTGGAAGAGAAGGATTAAGACTTCAAACTACCTTCAAAGGATGGGGATTCTGGAAAATTATACTAGGTTACAGTGTGTGTTCTATAATGAGGAGGAGGAAACAGACAACCATGTACTCTTACATTGTCCTTTTGTTTGGTTAGTATGGTCCAAAACTATGAGATGGTGGGGTATTCAATGGGCGATACCAAAATCAGTGGATGAACTGCTTCTTTGGTGGTCAGGATCAAAGTTCAAAAAATTAGAGAAGAAGATTTGGATAATCATTCCGTTTGCGGTGCTCTGGTCAGTATGGAAGTTAAGGAATGATCGTATTTTCAACAATGCCCAACCCAACTTCGAAGAACTCTGTGAATTGATCAAAGTGAGAATTGCAATATGGCTCAAAGCTTCATGCTCAGGTTTGCCGCTTTCAATAAATGATATTATGTTTAATCTACATCAGATCAGATTTTGCAATAGGTGATATCTGTTAATTTATAATTCTGGGTTGGTCTGGAGTGGACTGCTGCTGGGGTCTGCTGAGATCTGTTAAGTTGGGTCTCGGGTTATGCTGTCTATTATGTTTTCTACTCTGTTTGCTGCTGATATCTGCTAATTTGGGTCTTGGGTGGTCTGCATGCAGTGTGTTTTTGACACTGTTATGCTGTCGGTTATGTTGTTTCTTAAGGAATCTCAACCCAATTTTAATGATCTGTATGGATTGGCTACTGCTGTGCTTGCTTCCCAGCTGCTGTTGTTGCTTCAAAAGGGTGTCTTCTGATGGGTGTTTTGTGTTGGTTTTCTTTTTGTATTGCTACTTATGTTGGTTACTCACCAACTTCAAGCTTGAGGTAGTGCTAGCAGATGATTTCGTGGGCTTCTTGGTGCCAACCTCGTTGGGATCATGAGGTTCCACTGTGATGCTTTTTGCACCTTCCTCTTTATTGATGTATCCTTCATACTTCGTATGTTTTCCATCAATAAAATTTTTTGCTGATTAAAAAAAAAAAAACCTGATGATGTGGTGGGGAATAGAATATAGTTGCTACCTGAAAATGTGGATGGCCTGCTACAGTGGTGGAGGGGTTTCAAATGGAGAAGGTTTGAAAACAAAGTTTTAATTTTTTAAAAATTCAGTTTTTTTTTTTCGTTTTTTTTTTTGGTTTTTAGTGAATATTTTTTAAATTTTAAACAATTTTTTTTTTACTTTTTTTGATGCACTTTATTTAGATATATCTAAAAAGTAAAATGTTTATAAAAAAAAAAATAAAACTTAATCAATATACAAGAATTTTTATTTTTGATATTTAGTGAATTTTTTAAAGATTCTTTTCACAAATATTATATTTTTTAAGTGTATTTATGTTAAATATATCTAAAAATTAAAAAAAAAAAATCAGTAAAAATAAAAAAAGAAATATGAATTTTTTATTTTTATTTTTAATTTTCTGAAAAGTAAATCCCGAATTTTGAAACCAAATATGGAAGTGGTGTTGTCTATATGGAAGAATAGAAATGATGTGGTACTCAATGGGAAACAGCCTCAGCTGGAGGAGGCTTGTGAGTTGATCAAAGTTAGAATTGCTTTATGGGTAGAAGCTCAGTCCAAGGAATGTTTTTACATTGTGCAAGAGGTTATTACCAACTTAAACAAATCAGATTTATCTCCTAAATTGGCTGCAGCACACAGCGGAAGTTAGAAAGTACGGATACAGATATGAGGCACAGATACGATACGATACAGATATGATGATATAGCAAAATTTAAAAAAATAGGATACGGGTGCAGTTAAGATACATTTGTAAAAAATAAAAAATAAATAAATTATTAATAGTGAGTTATACATGAACTCAAGAATGTTGAAAAATCACCGTAACTTTATGATGTAAAATACTAATCTTTAATAATTAGGTATTAATTTAAGGCAGTAGTTAATTTAGTTTTTAAATTTTCAATAGGTCTTACAAATATTTCATTTCAATATCAAGTCTAATATATTGATATTATATCAAAACAATCTAGAACTTGACCCTATGCTTTTTCTTTTTGCACTAGTCAAAAATATTTTATATAAGTTTATTTGCTTATTTATTTATTGATACTTAATTTACTATTGTTATATTATCTTATTAGTCCTTATTTCTATGTAGTTATAGGAGACATGCATGATACAATGAAGATATGTCAATTTGATGAATTCTATTACTTTAGCTTACTATGTTATTTTTATAAAAAAAAACTAAGCAAAGTATTGTAAAAATATTCTATTTTTCCTCGCAATTATATTATATTATGATGTTATGCAAGAAATGATGCAATTCTAATTTCGTAAAAGGAGTAATATGTGACTTGGAGCATTTGATACTTCAAAATTAATTAAGAAGTATCCGATAATATGTGGGTTGGAACATCCGATACTTCAAAACTAAGTATCCGATACTTCAAAATTAATGAAAAATTGATTAAGAAGTATTCGATACTTTTAATAAGTATCTGATATGTATCTGTTGGCTACATATTTTGTGCTAGCCAGTGACAATTCGATGCGTGGCAAAGTAAGGGTAATATGGGGAGACCAGTCAGGTCTTCGATCCTGATCATA